TGACAAATTCGTCAAAATTTTAAGAAATTCGTCTGTTTAACATTTTATATTTTATCAAAACACCAAAAATATTATTTAATAACTTAACAATTTGCTCGAAACTGCTAAAAACTAAAACAACTTATATACATTTTTGGTTAATCTTTCCCAAACCCCCTAATAAATTAAAAAAAAAAAATTAAGAATCCATTGGGATAAGTTTTTTTAAATAAGAGCCAGTTGACACGTTGGGTTTTAATAGGTTGTGGAACCGTGTCCACCTTGCAGTTCTATGTTCATAAATACTGAACTATAAGTTCATTATTATAAAGCGATATATTCATAATCTTTGAACTTCATATTCATAATTATTGAACTCTATATTCATAATTGCAGAACTCTATGGTCATAGTTATTGAATTATATGTTCATAATTATACAGAAATATATTCATAATTTTTAAACTTCATATTCACAATTATTGAATCTCTATATTCATAATTAGATAACTATGTGTTTATAATTATTTTCACAACACTATGTTCATAATTTTTAAACTATATATTGATTATTATATTCATAATTATGAACTATTTTTGAATCATATCTACCTTGGAAGGTGGACACAATTTCACAGCATAATTTGTCGAGTCAATAGTACTATAAAAAGCCTTTGGACTTCTCAATACTTGCCAACATTGATGGGCAATCAATTGTATGGTTATATAGAGGAGATCAAGAGCTCCTCTTTCCAAACATTTTCAATGTGGAATCAAAATGATCCCACAGCATTTACTAAGGGGAGCCACCTTTGTCTTCTTCTTAATTTTTTTTTTTAATTTTAATTTTATTTTGTATATAGTTTTGTTTGGATTATTATTATTATTATTATTATTATTATTATTATTATTATTATTATTATTATTATTATTATTGTTGTTGTTGTTGTTGTTATTGTTATTATTTTAATTTTTATTTTATACTTGAACAATAATATTTTTATTATACTTGAACAATAATATTATCAATCAATTATATTATATTATAGAATATAATACCATATATAATATTTCCAATTAATAGATTTTATTTAATTTCAATTTGACATTTACTTACCAAATAAGCTTTGAATCTCTATATTCATAATTACATAACTATATGTTCATAATTATGCTCACAACACTATGTTCATAATTATATAACTACATGTTCATAATTGTTGAACAATATATTCATAATTATGAACAATTTTAGAATTGTGTCTACCTTGCAAGGTGGACACAATTCCACAGCATAATTTATCGGGTCAATAGTACTAAAAAAAATATTTGGACTTTTCAATACTTGCCCACATTGATGGGCAAGCAATTATGTTTGTAAAAGGAGCATTGCTCCTCTTATATAGAGGAGCTCAATAGCTCCTTTTCTAAACATTTTCAATGTGGGATCAAATGATCCAATATCATTTACAAAGGGGAGTTCGTGGCACCCTTTTGTCTTCTTCTTATTTATTTTAGTTTTAATTTTATTTTGTATATCATTTTGTTTGGATTACTATTACTATTATTGTTATTATTATTATTATTATTATTATTATTATTATTATTATTATTATTATTATTATTATTATTATTATTATTATTTATTTGATTATTGATATATTCGCAAAAATTTTAACAAATTCGTCATTTTAACATTTTAACTTTAATAAAAAAACCCCCAAAAAATTATATAGTAACTCAGTAATTTGCTCCAAATGGCTAAAAACCAGGCCCGGCCCTGGGCAAGGGCAGGCTGGGCCCTTGCCCAGGGCCCACGCTTGGAAGAGGGCCCCCATCCCATCCCACTATGTTTTATTTATACTATAGTGTTATTGTATAGGTATTTAATATACATTAGAATTACTAAATGGGTTATTCAACCTAATTGGTAAGTTACCTTATTTATTTCTAAAAGGTCGTGGGGTCGAGCCCTCATGCGTACAATTTCATTCTTTACTTTGTAGAACTACTATTAGAACCCATATACGTACATTAAATTTATGTAGTATTAAATTGAATTTATTTGTATTTTTTATTAAATTTGTAACTTTGTAATTTTGTTTACCTTTCTATAATAATAATGAGATTTATAATATAGATTGATTTGTGATCTATATCAAATTTGGAATCAATTTCTATTCGAGTAATTTACAATTTATATTTAGAATACATGTTATTTTGTGAACTTTATAATGAATAATGTACATGTAATATATTTTGTGATTTAGTTATGAAAAATATTTGAAAAGATAATTTACTTTTTTTATGAATTATCTAGTTAATGTAGTTTAGAAGTTCTACTGTGTGTTATCGTATTTAAATTAATCTAGAAAAAATTTGAATTTTTTTTTTTTGAAAGCTACTGGTTCTATTACATTGTAGTATCTGTTCATATACTTTCTCAACCTACTGAAACACAAAGAACCAATAATGCCTCCACTGAAGCTCGAACTCATAATCTTCCAAATGAAAGTCCAACCCGGATACCATTAGACCACATAGTCCTGGTATTTGAAATTAATCTAACTAAAACAAAAAGTATTTATAAATATAATACCAATATAGAAGATATGTGATTTATAATGTGTTTTCTATTCGAACTATTTTATCAAATTAATTATGTTTCATATTTTATTATGAATATCTTTTATCGCACTTAAAGTGTTCTGATTTATTTTTCTCAATAATTAAGACTTCATGCTCTGCTCTTGTTTATAAGTTTTGTTTTATAAATTTTTAATAATAATTACTTTATTTTTTTTATAATAATCATAATGTGATTGCGTATAAGCTTATTTGGTATCAAATTGTTTATTCGTTTTTATAAGCTATAATTGTTTATTTATGAAGTCACTGATGCAGGTATTGATAATTTTGAATTTAGGAAAACATATAGAATTGTTTTCATATGTATGTAAAATAGTTAAACACTTTTTAATCTTATTTCAAGTTATTTGACATTAGTATTTTCATGGCCGGATTTTGGGGCATGCAAGATGAGCAACAACACAAGGCCTCAATTTTTAGAGGGCCTAATATTTACACCGTTCATACTTATTTGACATAAAAATCATATATTTTACAGTATAAATTGTGATTTTTGCATTCAACTGAGTGTTACACCGTTCGTACTTATTTGAAATAAAAATCTTATATTTTACAATATTGGTTTTGGTTGCTCTTATACTTTTGATAGGGCTTCATTTATTTATAAGAACGGGGCCACAAATTTATTTTTTTTTAAATGCCTATTTTCTGACCCGTCCTTATTTAATAAAAATTTTAGTTATAAAAATGTATATTAATTTCATGTAGCTAGGGCCCATTTTTGTTGCTACGCCCCGGGCCTATAAAATGATAGGACCGGCCCTGCTAAAAACTAATACAACACATACATTTGTTGTTAATCTTTCACAACCCCCATTAATAACAAATAAATACAAAATAAAATAAGAAGACAAAGTTGAGGCTTCTTAAATAAGAACCTTTTGACATCTCAATACTTGCCCACATTGATGGGCAAGAAATTATATTTGTAAGGGGGTCATTGCTCCTCTTATATAGAGGAGCTCTCTCTTTTCAAATATTTTCAATGTGGGATAAAAATGATCTCAAAATCATTTACAAAGGGAGCACGTGACACCCCTTTGTCTTTTTTTTTTTTTAAATTTTAATTTTATTTTATATACAGTTATGTTTGGATTATTGTTGTTGTTGTTGTTGTTATTGTTATTTGATTATTTGGCAAATTCGTCAGAATTTTATGAAATTCGTCTGTTTAACATTTTATATTTTATCAAAACACCAAAAATATTATTTAATAACTTAACAATTTGCTCGAAACTGCTAAAAACTAAAACAACTCATATACATTTTTTGTTAATCATTCCCAAACCCCCTTATAAATTAAAAAAAAAAATTAAGAATCCATTAAGATAAGTTTTTTTAAATAAGAGCCATTTGACTCGTTGGGTTTTAATAGGTTGTGGAACCGTGTCCACCTTGCAGTTCTATGTTCATAAATACTGAACTATAAGTTCATTATTATAAAGTTATATATTCATAATCTTTAAACTTCATATTCATAATTATTGAACTCTATATTCATAATTACAGAACTCTATGTTCATAGTTATTGAATTATATGTTCATAATTACAAAGATATATATTCATAATTTTTGAACTTCATATTCACAATTATTGAATCTGTATATTCATAATTAGATAACTATGTGTTCATAATTATGTTCTCAACATTATGTTCATAATCATAGAACTATATGTTCATAATTTTTGAACTATATATTGTTGATTATTATATTCATAATTGTGAACTATTTTTGAACCATGTCTACCTTGCAATGTGGACGCAGTTCCACAACATAATTTGTCGTGTCAATAGTAGTACTATAAAAAGCCTTTGGACTTCTCAATACTTGCCCACATTGATGGGCAAACAATTGTATGGTTGTTTGAGGAGCATTGCTCCTCTTATATAGAGGAGATCTAGAACTCCTCTTTCCAAACATTTTCAATGTGGGATCAAAATGATCCCACATCATTTACAAAGGGGAGCCACCTTTTTTTTTAAATTTTGTATATAGTTTTGTTTGGATTATTATTATTACTAGTAGTTGCACCCGTGCGATGCACGGCCATATCTATAGTTTATGGAATATACAGTATGTACAAAAGCTTAAGAAATGTAATAAATACTAAATCCCCACCAAATTGAAAATTGATTAAACATTGTTGAAGACTTCTTTGTACCCAACATTTGTTGTCTTACTAAGACATGTTACATCTTCTCCGCAAATCAATACTTTTAAACCCGTAGGGTTACTGACTCTTGAAACAACTACGTACATTTGCCCATGGTTAAAGACTGGTCTTTTTAAATACAATCCCACTCTTGAGAGCGTTTGTCCTTGACTTTTATTTATTGTCATGACATAGGATAGCATCAAAGGAAATTGCTTTCATTGGAATTTGAAATGCAATCTTGGATCTGACGGTGTTAGTGACATCCTTGGAATCAAAACTGTAGTACCTGCATTTGTACCCCCCATTATTTTTGCTTCCAACACATGATCAGCTAACCTTGTTACAATCAATCTTGTACCATTGCACAAGCCAAGAGTGTGATCAATATTTCTCAAGAGCATAACGGGTGACCAAATTTTCAAAGTCAATGCATGATTAGGTACACCAGAACATCGCAGACCATTCAAGAATTCTGGAGTGTGCAATTCCGCTAACATATCTGCATTAGAATCTGACTTGCAAACTGAATCACAACTCAAATAAGTCCTAGCTTCACTTGGATTTTGATCATTCATGTATTGGTTAATGATATCTACCGTATCCAATGTTGGTGCTAATATGGCACTATCCTCAAGGTATGATAAATCACCATTAGCACTTATAAACAACGGGAAAATGCTATCAACAATTGTAGAAATAGTATCACCATCACATTTAAGTAGAAACTTATCTGGATTTGTTAACTCTGCGTCACCATCCGTTGAATTTCCAATTTTCCCGTCACCTATATCTGCTATCCAGTTTGCAAACTCTTCAATCTCTTTGACCTCTATTTGTGATTTTACACATGTTAGGCGTAAATTTTTTGTTAGCCTAAATACTTTGCATGATCTCCAAAGGTATGATGAATTTATGCTCGATCCAACAATATCTTGCCTTGTGCCCTTTGGAATAACCGGAAGAATTTGTCTAAAATCGCCACCCAAAACAACTGTTTTACCACCAAATGTCATTTCACAGCTTCTTGGATTTGTGGAGCGCAATAAATCACGCAGAGTTCGGTCTAGGGCTTCAAAGCAGAACTTGTGCATCATTGGAGCTTCATCCCATATTATCAACTTGCTTTGCATAATAAGCTCCGCCAACGGGGTGCCTTGTCTTATGTTGCAAGTGGAATCTTCATTAACAGATATAGGTATTGCGAACCTAGAATGTGCTGTCCGACCACCTGGTAGCAGGAGAGAAGCTATGCCGCTAGATGCAACATTTAGAACAATTTCACCCTTACGTCTTAAAGCGGATGAAAGTGCTCTCCACAAGAAGGTCTTACCAGTACCACCATATCCATAAACGAAGAAAAATCCACCAGCTTTGCTTTCAATATCTGTTAACACCTCCTCGTATATTACCTTTTGCTCATCTGTCAGTTGACTAACCAAATCGTTATTCTCTTTCTCCTGAGCAACACGATCATATGCCAATTCTTCTTGTATCAACCGATTTGATATTAAATTATATGACTCCAAATCTGCAACTGGCATTTCTGGAAAGTCCTTAAGACTCTTTCCCATTATTGATAACAATTTTTCAATCTCAACCAACGCAAAATTCATCTTCTGATTGTCATTCAACTCAGAATCTGCAGTGATTTGAACCATTAAGTGAATACAAAACCAATGTGTTTTGCTTGAGTACGTTATTCTAAAAACAACTGAAAATAAAATGCAAAATATATAGCCAGAATAACTTGTGTACCTGAATTTTGCAATTGTTTCCGAACTTGATATTGTGCATCTTCAGACAAATGTTGCCACATGGCATACCAAACAGCTTCAGGTTTACCTATACAGCTGGTCATTAATAGTGTAACAAATAACCTCCTCAACTTATCTCCAGAAGCCCAATGACTTGCTTCCTCTATTGCGTCTATATATTCTTTGTCATCATCAACTAAGCCTCTAGCATAGCACGCATCGCGGAATGAATCATATTGCACACCATTCACAATCTTTATATCAGCAAAAGATGTAGGACCACGAACTTTATTCAACAAACATCTTAAATAAAAAATTTCACCAGTGCCAGGTGGGACGTAAAAAATCCTTCCTATTGCGAATCCTTTTTTCCTTGGCTGCCATTTTCGTAGTTGTTTCTTCCACACAAATTTCGTTGGCATCTCAGCATAAGTCATCTTTCTTGCCTCTGGAAATGTCTTGTTAGCCTCAAACCATTCCAAGAACATGCTTTGTCCTATAGTTGGTCTATTCACAATGTTGTCAACTGGATCGTCATCGGCAAAAATCACACTTTGTTGATTGGGTAAGTGAAAGCTTAACCTTTCCACTGATGGAGCCCTAAGTTGTATATCAAAGCCAAACAACCGCCATACAGCCTCGCAGGGTGAAATGTACCTACAGTCATAGTACATATTAATCTCATCTACAGATTTTCCAACATCTGAATCATTGCTTGTTTTGTAGAACTCGGCTGTTACCATGTCGTGTCCCTTATTGACATATTTGAAAAGGTACTTGATTGAACGGGACTGGTTGCACCACTCCACATTTATATGTGCCTTGTATTTAAGCAATAAATGTCTGTTGTGCGGTACAACATACCTGTTGTCCAAGACAATGCCATTCTTTGTTATTGTCCTTCCATTTTCTCGACGTCTATATAAGGGATACCCATCATCATCAAAAGTAGAACATTCTAAAAAAATTTTGGGAAAATGTTTGGAACATCTTCCTTTCACCATACACGGAGAATTCAGTCTAGCTTTTCCGCATGGCCCATGCATCATAAATTCCTCAACATCTTTGTAGTATTCTACATCCATATTTTCATCAGGTATCTCAGCTGAAATTATTTTGTCTAAAGCTCCAACTTCACTAACTTCATTTCTTTTATCCAAAAAGAGCAATATATGCGCATGCGGGAGGCCTCTTTTTTGGAACTCAATGGTATATATAACTGTGAAATAAATAATGAATATAATTTAGGAAATACAATCTTAACAGGATGAAATAGTTAAAAAAAAAAAATTGTACAGGGGCTTACCTCCAGCAACCGATCCAAACAGTTTCTTCTTTCTACAATCGGCTATCAAGGAATCGAGCTTCATCTTAAACAACCTGCAAATTATGTCAAGACGGTCTTCAGCTTTCAAACTACGGTCAGTAAGGAAACGTTGCACCTCAGGCCACTTTGGGTTGCAGGTAAAAGTTATAAATAAATTCGGATATCCAATCCATCTACAAATAGCCATCGCATCGTGGTAGTTTTGTATCATGTACCTTGCTCCGCCAGTGAAACTCGATGGTAAAATTATCCTACGCCCCTGATTTGCTGGATTTATTTCACCCCGAGTTAAAGCATCTGTCAACCCACTATATGATTCACAACGTAAGCTTTTTTGGTGTGTCCTTATATAGATGAGTCTTCCTGACTCAACCATTGTATATCCGCCAACAACAAATTGTTGGAATAACGTCTTCGCATGTAGTATTGTACTGACAACCTCTTTTCTTGATTGCAAGCGATAGCAAAAAAATTCCCTTGGACAAATCCTTTGTCTTCCGCCAGCACCACAGTTTCCCTTTATGTTAGAGAAGGAAATGTCTTCCCTATAACCATCTTCACCATATGGAAACAACAATGGGTATTGAAGTGGCAAGTAGGAAGGGTTTAATTCACTTATTCTTTGTAGCTGGCCGCCCTTAGTTTGAACGACAATGTCACGCTCACCTATACTGGTATCAAGATCTCCAACTATTAATGCAGCTACTTCAGACACTTCAGGTAAATTGTATGTCCTAGCATCTTTCTTGCGCTTGCCTAGCAATTTTATCTTGACTTCAGCGCAGGGATTTCTATCCATTTCTGACTTAGCCATACGAAATGACTTAACCAAGACATTATTTTGATCCAACTCACCTTGAATGACATTCACTATGTCTATATGAATGTCATCTTGATTACAACCATCCCTGCATTAATTATGAAATGAATATACACTTTATATAATTGGTTTAGACTCAATGATCATAACATAAGTAAGCGAAGATTAGGTTTACCTCACAGCATTGATACGGTTTATTTGTTCATTGTTTGTGTCGTATATGTATAGTTGGGCAAAATGTGGTGGCTTGCCTTCTTGTGGAAGTAAACTTCCCATTAAATGATAGTTCTGTCCATTTAATCGGAATACAGGGGGCCCGCCTCCCTTGTTCACGGTCCTGTCAACCCTACCTCTCATTGATGTGAAGCAAAACATGTTGTTGTATGTCCTGATGTTTTGTAAGAATTTCCTAGATAGTTCACATTTGCCGAAAAAAGATCGTTGATACCTTTGGGTGGCAAGGGTAAGGTGGGCAACTTAATTTTACCACTGTTGCAACACATTGAAAATCGCGATGCTCCCTTAGTCACGGCTTTGTTCTGTCTCTCCTCAAACCAAAATAACGCACCACAATGGTCACAAGTATTTGTAGCGTCTCCAAAATCACAATATTCAACTGCATTAAAAGGTAATATTATGATGCGGTATTAATATTGCATAACAACTATTAATATTATATTGTGCTACGTACCATTAGAAACCGCAGGTGTGGTAGCAATATCGTTGTTCTGTGATTTTCCGTCAACATTTTTAACCAAACTTGTAGCAGTAATACTTGCTTCTGTAGGCAAGGGAATATTTGATACTTGAAATTTAGATAATTTTTGAATTTTCCAATAATTTAATAAATTAGAATAAAGTAGTAAAGGGTTTGGAAAAAAAGTTAACAAAAATAAATAAAAGGCATAAAGTATCCCTATATTTAACTAATGAAAGCATATATATAGAAATTAAGGAAATACCGGTTGAACAGATATCTGCTGCTCTAATCGGTGCAGGAAGAGATTCTTCTTTGAACGCTAACAGCAGGTCCCTCTTTAGCTCATGTGGAGGTTTAATAGTACAACAATTTGTACCGTCTAGGATTTTGTTGCATCCACTATTAACATTCGATATGTTCTTGAACGGTTGTCGCGTTGGTACTTTATGTTGTGTGTTACAACCTATTGTCAAAGTTCATAGCAAATGAGCTACAGTATCAACGTAATAAATTAAAACGTACATTTATGATTTTGAAAGGCACCTACCAGTTAATATAGATGTTGGTACGGAGGATATTGACTCTTGTAAGTGTCCCAAAATGAAAACCTTAGATTTGTTTGAGCCGAATTTTTGTGTTATGTTCCGCCCACTTAAGTGTATATTGCAAGTACCTTTGTCACACATAAATAAATATTTAAGTTAAACACAATATCGAAATAGACAAATAGATTCAAATACTAAATAACAACTAACTTAAAAAATTATATATGAATATTTGAAATATATGTAAATGTACATCGCTATAATATGTAATAGTTTTACCGTTTGTTATAGTACTCATTGGTGTAATATTTTGAGTAGAACAACATCCAGATGAAAGTCTTCTAGGGATACTTGAAGCGTTTTCGTCTCCAACTGGAGGGTTTTCCTTTGTTGGTGAAATTTTTTCAAAATTCTCTGCGAAATAGGTAAGTAAAGTTAAGTAATTACACCAACATTACACAACATAAATGTCCAAGTATAATTATCAATGAAAAGCTAATAACATAACTATGATGAATTATTCATGTACCAAGGTCCACCATATGGTGTGCACCCTATATAGAAACTATATTGTTATGTAACGTGTTGTTTCCCTATAAGTACGAAAATTGAATAATTATCAAGATGATTTAGAATTATTTATTAGTCTCTTATATTAGTTAGATTCCATTACAACACAATTTCTAATATTTCTTTGCAAAAATATAATTTATAAAGATGTACGTTAAATTTAAAAGTAATATTGAATAAGTCAAAAAATAGAGTTCTATGAATACTTTCATAAACGTATCTAATATACATGGAAGCTTAGAATTGTGTATTATGTGTCTAATAATATTTGACGACATAAGTATTCTATGATATATATCCACTTTATCCATTACACGACAATTAATTCATTATATCATTGTACTAAACATACTAATAAGTGGTAAAAATAAGGCCCAAGCTAAGTAAAAACACAATACTTACCCAATACACTTAAACTAACCAGCTCCAGTAACCCGACCCACCAACCATTTCCTAAACCCGACCCAAAAACCGGAATATAAATTCGGAGTCCAACCTTCACTTCTACCCTACCCGACCTTTCGCATTCCTTCCGCCTCTCTCGCCTTCGTCAGAGGCAATCGCCTTCCGTAGGTCTCTCTCCCTTTCCTATTTACATCTCTCACTCTGTCCGAAAGCTTGGTAGCAAGCATGTCATCGACAGTATCTATGGTGTTTGCGTGAACTATTTCGGTTGTACCTCGATGGAGTACAAACCCTAAATGTAAACTATACAGCTTTCATCTTCAGTTTGTTTCCTTCGCTTTAGTTTCTCTTTCGAATTACCATCATGGAAATTACTAATTTCCTACTAAAATCAGTCGATACAATAGCTTTATACTATTCTTCGATCTAGGGTTTTGTTCTCTCCTAACCCTAACATGTGTTCGAGACATCAATTGCTCGGCGTGGATGAGTCCGACATCACCGTCCAAAACCAGAAGTCCAGAAACAACATATAAGCTAAGTATATCTATGATTTCTCATAATTTGTCAAGTTTTAGATCTCAGTTTGCGGATTTGAAATGATTCAAATGAATTGCTATGAGACATGCTTTTTGTACGTAATTAATAGCTGAAATTATATAGCTAGGTGCATTTAGCCTATGTTTTAGAAGTCACATTTCACGAATATTTTACCTTCTGTAATTGTTAGATTTACTGTACTAATATTTGTAAAATAAATTGTTCTTATTTGTCAATTAAATGTGTTTTGCAGGGACAGAAAGTCTGTGATGCATCATTTGAAATGGGATACAGTAAACAATCCAAGTTGTTGACAGTAATGGTAGCAAAAGTCAAGTAAGATTAGAATTTTTGTGTACCTTTTTGTTGTATTGAATGCTTCCTCTTTGTGCCTATGATTGTAGAAGTTGTAATTTGCCTCATTGCTCTGAAAATGGTTTAATTTGCAATATGATATGCTATGTTTGATATACATGAATTATGAACTGTGTGAATTATAACTATCTTATTTGATGTTGAGTAATTATAGTATGACTCTTCAGTTTTTCTTGAAATTGGTATTGGTGTGTGCCACTTTATGTGCTAATTAAATACATGTATTCCTGATATTGTCAGACCTTATTTTTTCGAATGACATGACTAAATTATTTGTTCCCAAATTCTGGCAAATGATGACTCAAAATTCTGATGCCATTGTTTTGATTAACAATTCATCCTCTCGAATTAGCGTACGTGTGAGTTGTTGTACTTAATATGTTCCTTAAAAAGGTGGATTCCAAAATTTTCATAAACTCAGATTTTCTTTTTTCAGATTACTGCCTTGTATACATTTGCTAATATGGCAAATGATGAAATCAAATTCTGATGTCAAATTGTGTTTTGAATGGTTGTTTGTTGTGTCCTATCTTTTTGCAGCATATATTAACCCCATACACACTATATAAGAATGTATTTTTTTCCACAGATTTTGGGCAGTGATGTAAAAGATATTTGCAGATCATTTTTTTTTCAACGCTGTATAGTATATTTTTAGTCTAGGATTAGTCAACTCATTGGTATATGTAGTTTTTCAAATAATTGATACAGGGTTTCGAGATATAATACTTCATTGCAAACAATAGAGTGATTTGTTTGTTTCAAATTCGATTTATTTCAAATCCACAATACTCATTTGTAAACAGTACATATACAATAGAGATATAACTTTAGAAACCCCTTTCGCTCATTAATTCACCTTACAGTGATTTATAATACAAAGTACGCGAGTAATTGAAAACCCCAATTTTTTCATAGTATACTATATAATGAGTCATTTTTACAGCTCCAATTTAACGAAATCATGAAGGGGGTTTTTATTTTTATTTTAGTTTAAGTATCAATCTAGAACATCAAACTATATAATAATACGTATATCTTTCATAGAAAAACCAAACTTTTTAAACAATACATCACAGGCAATTGTGGTTTTACTTCCCTTTCAACTAAAGGATGATACTATAGATAAATGTGACTTTGTTTAAAAAAAAAAAACTGTATGACCGCCATAAAGTTTGTGGCGTTAATTTGTTGCTTGCACCTAAGTATCATTAAAGAAAGTCTTATTGTATTATGGAAATATAATTTCATACTAAATAAACACTTTTTTTAACAATAAAGTATACAGTTTAGGGTATACTTATCGATCTAAGTGTATACTATGTATAAGTTTCAACTAAAAAAAATAATTTTTGTAAGAATCAAGTAGAGGAAAACTGTTTTTAGTTCCCTTTCTGGCCTACTGTTATGAGATTTTAGACATTTGATGCATTTTAATTAAATGAGTTTTAATTTTTTCTAAGTTGTTGTGTTAATTGGGTGTTTGTTTAAGTATCATGCAAGATACTCTAAGTGTATTATACTATGTCTTAAAAAATACAGACTTTTTTTAACAACAAAGTCCACAGTTTTTGATGGATTTAAAATCAAAGGGTGTTTTATTTTTTTCCTAAGTTGTGGTGTTACTTATCATGAGATTTTAGATATTTGATGCATTTTTTAAACTGTTTTGTTTTTTTTCTAAGTTGTGGTGTTAACTTGTTTGTTTAAGTATCATGCAACATACTCTAAGTCTATTATACTATGTCTTAAAAAATACAGAATTTTTTTTAGAACAAAGTCCACAGTTTTTGATGGATTTAAAATCAAAGGGTTTTTTATTTTTTTCCTAAGTTGTGGTGTTACTTATCCTGAGATTTTAGATATTTGATGCATTTTTTTAAACTGTTTTGTTTTTTCCTAAGTTGTGGTGTTAACTTGTTGTTTGTTTAAGTATCATGCAACATACTCTAAGTCTAGTTTAGTTCCCTTATAAAAAAATTATAATATTTTAGGAATTTGATGCATTATTTTTAAACAAATCTGGTCTAAAGACTTTGAATTGTCTATACTGTGCAAAGTCAAATTCTCAGCAATATAGTATTTGCTGTTTGTCCTAGGAAATAAAATAGGAAAAAAAATAACTTACAATAGTATCCTTAAGTAATTATGTTATATAATTAGGAGAAATTAAAACATACCAAAAAAAAAATAATAAGCACCAAAATAGCCCAGAATAATTATCAGTTAAACCAAACAGAGTCAAGAAAATGTTTAGTGCAATGCAGAAATAAAAAAGAAATCAAAACAGCTCAGAGGCTTAAAGTATTGTCCAGATGTGTTTTTGAAACAATTCAGTTCATGTTCTCCTTCTTAATGCTACCACCCTTTGACCTTTTGCTCCCTTTTGAGGATGAAAACTGATCCGGCAATGACCTCTTAGTAGTAGGAGAATATGCTTGAGCATTAACTTGGGATTCTGAGGGCCTTGTGTTAGCAGGACTATTGACCTCTTCTTTTTTAGAGGCTTCCTGCAAAACAAATTGTAGAACAAAAAATTAGAAATTACTTAACGTATTTAAGTGAAAGATAGGGTTTAGTTAAACACAAATCACCTCAGAATGTTGAGAAGTGTTCTCATCCTCTTCTATTTGCTGTGACATTAGGTCTTTTTCTTCATCTTCAAATAATCTGGAACAATAAGCATCTAACAACTGCTCGTCCCTTAGAACCCTCATCACATTGTAAGCTGGATTATTGCCTTTCATCAGAGCTCTTTTAATCCCCACTTTAAAAATCATTTTTAAACCAATCACCACCTCAATCTCAGTGGGGATGTCAACATCAGCCTGATAAGTAATACGATTAGTAAAAAAAAAATAGAAATTTTAGAAGGCTTATACAATTGGTAGAAGCAAAAGAAGTACCTTTTTGTACTTCTCATACAACAGAGTAGCAGGAATGCCAACTAATTCTGCAACTTCCCTATCCCAGAGCATGAAAGTTGCATCTGTGGTTTTGTCTAAGACTCTCACCAAAAGCTTATACCTAGCAGTACCTTCCTCAAATTGTTTTACACACTTGTCACAGTTTAAGACCCCTTTGATTGCTTTAAGCTTCCTGTTACAGCCAGGTGTCAGGCATGCCATGTAGTACCAATCGTCTGTAGAAGACTCTATTGCCATAATTTCACCAGGAATATAGTAATCCCCATCCTGAAAAAATAGTTACAAAAAGTATGTTTAACACCATAACTTAGATTTGTAAGAAAGCTTGTTAATATGTAATTAACAACCTGCAGCTTAGATAGATCAAAGATTGTAGACACAATCCTTTCACCCTTTTGAAAACTCTCAATCCCTGTGGACTGGGAGTTCAGAGTCACAGTGCTCAGACTTTTAATTGGAGTCTCTTGAACTTTTAACCTGCAAAAAACAATCAGAATTTGAATCAGTAAATGAGACTCATTTAGACCTCATTCATTGCAGGAAGTTTATGCATTAAATAGACTTACTGAGATTTGAAGTCCTTGAACTCATCAAAATCACCATTCACCCAGATCTTAGTTGCATCATACGATGATGTTATTCTGACTTCACCTAAAAAAAAACACACATAGAAAAAACATAGCATTGGTGTCTATTGCATAAAATAGAGGAGGACAGTATAAGTTTCAAAGACTCACCACTAACCACCTTCGCCCTACAACATTGAATAGCGACAATCACTGGTTCATTTGAACTTGAATTGTAGTAGGGCAGTAGAGACTCAACATGAGAATCCCACAAGGTACACATCAAGTAGTTATCACTGTTTTTGGTAGGTAGAAAAGGAAAATAATTAAATATAATAAACAGAAAAGGAAACTTATAAAGTGGAATCAATAAAGAAACAGTAAAACTAAACGAAATAAGCAATATGAATGTCAATTTAGATTCATAAGAAAATCTGAAAGGAAATATGCAATCTTGTAATGGAACAAATAAACAAAAAATATAAAACTTACGCATTATCACAGATTTGAAAGTCAATCAGTTTTGTGGCTTTACCACCCACAATCTTGTCTACAGGATTATATATCTCCACCACACGACCTATAACATCTGAAACATATTTAAAGAATATAAGCAGTCATTATATGCCTAAGTAGTTGTATTAGTAATAGTACAATTAGGATTTTACCAATGAGCTCCTTGTCATTAACTGCCTTGGGATCTTTCAAAGACTCAAAACTTAATTGTAAGCCGAAACATAAAAAGTGGAAAGCCTATAGAGTTGATCTGTTTGACTTCTGTTTTGTAATTAAACTTGAGCATATAGTTATGCTGGGTGACCTTGTAAAGGTAATAGTTTGTAACAACATAGAAGTTCTTTATCTCATAAAGTTGGCATTCTTTTAGCACATCTTTGTATTTGACAACATCTTTATTCTGAATAGTAGTATGTATATAATCTCCCTGTACAGAAATTTTAATACAGTGTGCTTAAAATATGAGCAGTAAGTGATATAGAAATTTAGATTGAATCATGCTTCTGTTTTACAAAACTATTGTTGATTTACAATGTACATGTAAACATGCTTCTGTTTGCAAATGTATTTAGTAAACAAATATAGAAGCTATACATGTACAGGAATGGTATATATATAGAAACATGCTTCTGTTTGCAAATTTAGTCAATAAAAAAATATAGAACCTATACATGTATAGGAATGCTATAGGATGCCAGTTGGTTGACAAAATTGAAAATAATCCCTGACTTTTACAAATAGGAATGCTATATATATGGAAAAATGCTTCTGTTTGCAAATGTAGTTGCTAACAAATTATAGAAGCTATGCATGTATAGGTATCATATAGGATGGCAGTTGCTTTACAAAAATGAAAATAATCACCCCTTCTGTTTTACAAATACGAATGCTATATATATATATGGAAACATGCTTCTGTAATACTAAAATCTTCTGTTATTCAGTGAATGTGTAAACATGTATATACTTTAAGATGAATTAAATAAAAATGATATAGAAGTGTACCTGATCATCATGGAGAAGACACTCCATACTCTTGACCTTACTACCTACCCTCCTCTCAGGCACATCATAGATCCGTACACAACGTACTCTAATTCCCCTTTGCTTGTGGACATGATGGATATCTTTGATAGCAATGAACAGGGAAGGCATTGTACTACTATTTCGAAGAAGAATAGTGATGGGCAGGGTTTAGGGTTGAATCAAATGGACATCAAAATCTGGAGGTAGCCTTTTATAGGCAACAATCACATTTTGAATTACACCTCTCGAAGAGTTTTCATGATGATCAAGCCTTGGAACACCAAAAATGCATTAAATGCTGGTGTTGGTTTAAGTTTAAATTATATAATCTTGAGTTATGTAAATAATTTTCGTCTTTATTATATATCACCAGCATGGATTGTAAATATATATAGCCATTTCAGTAGTGGTCTACTCTTAAAAGTAAAAACCATTCGAATCCTCAAATAATTTCTGCATTGGTAAGGTAAAAAGTAGTATTTAAAATATTATTTGGAATCTGTACATTAATAAAGGCAGCATTAAATAGCCGAATTTTTGTTAGACAGCACAACAAACTACATCGTATACAGCGAGCACGAAAATGCAATAGACAATAACATAGGGGTAAAACGACGGCGTATTCATTTGGGCGGGATAATTTTTTAGGCATCAAGTTGTTGCTTTATTATAGAGTTAGATTATTATTATTATTATTATTATTATTATTATTATTATTATTATTATTATTATTATTATTGTATTATTATTATTATTATTATTATTATTATTATATTATTATTATTATATTATTATTATTATTATTATTATTGTTGTTGTTGTTGTTGTTGTTGTTGTTGTTATTGTTATTATTTTAATTTTAATTTTATTTTATACTTGAACAATAATATTTTTATTATACTTGAACAATAATATTATCAATTATATTATATTATAGAATATAATACCATATATAATATTACCAATTAATAGATTTTATTTATTTTTCATTTGACATTTACTTACCAAATAAGTTTTACTACAAAAGTTTTGGGGAAATTTGTTAGGAGGATTTTACTTTTATATATATATAGATATAGATATAGATATAGATAGATATATAGAATATAGATGTAGATTACTAAGAACTATAATAATTAAATTACTACAATTATTCTTCTTCTCCCAACTACAATTATTCTAACTATACAAGGTAATGATATATTCTAATATACATAATTTCTTTATACTAATATTTTTTCAATTATCATCTAATTACATATGATCCATTCCTTTTAGACCATCCACTAATTAAATCACCAATTATTTGTTTCCTTTGATGCGTATCCAGGGCCGGTCCTATCATTTTATAGGCCCGGGGCGTAGCAACAAAAATGGGCCCTAGCTACATGAAATTAATATACATTTTTATAACTAAAATTTTTATTAAATAAGGACGGGTCACAAAATAGGCATTTAAAAAAAAATAAATTTGTGGCCCCGTTCTTATAAATAAATGAAGCCCTATCAAAAGTATAAGAGCAACCAAAACCAATATTGTAAAATATAAGATTTTTATTTCAAATAAGTACGAACGGTGTAACACTCAGTTGAATGCAAAAATCACAATTTATACTGTAAAATATATGATTTTTATGTCAAATAAGTATGAACGGTGTAAATATTAGGCCCTCTAAAAATTGAGGCCTTGTGTTGTTGCTCATCATGCATGCCCCAAAATCCGGCCATGAAAATACTAATGTCAAATAACTTGAAATAAGATTAAAAAGTGTTTAACTATTTTACATACATATGAAAACAATTCTATATGTTTTCCTAAATTCAAAATTATCAATACCAGCATCAATGACTTCATAAATAAACAATTATAGCTTATAAAAACGAATAAACAATTTGATACCAAATAAGCTTATACGCAATCACATTATGATTATTATAAAAAAAAATAAAGTAATTATTATTAAAAATTTATAAAACAAAACTTATAAACAAGAGCAGAGCATGAAGTCTTAATTATTGAGAAAAATAAATCAGAACACTTTAAGTGCGATAAAAGATATTCATAATAAAATATGAAACATAATTAATTTGATAAAATAGTTCGAATAGAAAACACATTATAAATCACATATCTTCTATATTGGTATTATATTTATAAATACTTTTTGTTTTAGTTAGATTAATTTCAAATACCAGGACTATGTGGTCTAATGGTATCCGGGTTGGACTTCCATTTGGAAGATTATGAGTTCAAGCCTCAGTGAAGGCGTTATTGGTTCTTTGTGTTTTAGTAGGTTGAGAAAGTATATGAACAGATTTTTTCTAGATTAATTTAAATACGATAACACACAGTAGAACTTCTAAACTACATTAACTAGATAATTCATAAAAAAAGTAAATTATCTTTTCAAATATTTTTCATAACTAAATCACAAAATATATTACATGTACATTATTCATTATAAAGTTCACAAAATAACATGTATTCTAAATATAAATTGTAAATTACTCGAATAGAAATTGATTCCAAATTTGATATAGATCACAAATCAATCTATATTATAAATCTCATTATTATTATAGAAAGGTAAACAAAATTACAAAGTTACAAATTTAATAAAAAATACAAATTAAAAATAGAAATAAATTCAATTTAATACTACATAAATTTAATGTACGTATATGGGTTCTAATAGTAGTTCTACAAAGTAAAGAATGAAATTGTACGCATGAGAGCTTGACCCCACGACCTTTTATTTAGAAATAAACAAGGTAGCTTACCAATTAGGTTGAATAACCCATTTAGTAATTCTAATGTATATTAAATACCTATACAATAACACTATAGTATAAATAAAACATAGTGGGGTGGGATGGGGGCCCCCTTCCAAGCGTGGGCCCTGGGCAAGGGCCCAGCCTGCCCTTGCCCAGGGCCGGGCCTGTGCGTATCATTCAACTACATTTGTTAGAATACAAAAACTAATATTGTTGAATCCATAAAATCACGGCATGTCAAAATTAAGAAAATTGAACCGAATCAAATAGCTAGGAATGTTATAAAAAAAAAAAAAAAAAAAAACCCAACAAAAAATAGAAAAAAAAAACTATTGAGACGGTGTAAGCGTCAGCCTGACTAACGTGATTCACGCCAGTCTCGAGTCAAAAACTGACAAAACTTCTTAGTTGCTCCGGTTCAATTTGACACTGACACCGTGCTACAAATGTTTTTTATTAGAAAAATAAAAGTTTGTTGCTCACTTGCTCCGGTTCAATTTTAATGATCTTGAAATACCATGATTTTATGGATTCAACTATTTTTGTTTTTGTTTTCTAACAATTGAAGTTGAATCCATAAAATCATGAAATTTCGAGATGAAGAAAATTGAACCGGAGCAACCAAGACAGTATAAAATAAAATTTGGGGTAAGTATAAAATAAAATTTATTTTAAAAAACTTAGTGGCGCAAGTGGTGTCAGTCTCGAGCTAATATTTTTTTTTTTTGAAAACTTTAGTCAAATGCATTTCGAATATTTTGCTGTATACTACGTCGAATGCATTTTTCAATTGCATTTGATGCATAATAATTTTATTTTTTTTTTGTCAAACCCATTTCCTAAATGCGTTTGACATATTCCATCCAAAAATCTCAAATGCAATTGGGAGACGTTTGAGGTCTGGTCAAAGGCACAAACCGATTTTCTAAATTTTAAAAGTTGTTCATTTTGTTCTCCCATTTTAGAAATCATCTATTTTCCAACCACCAAAAATGTTGAAGATTTATAATGTTTTGCTTAGTTTTTACTTGAAATTAACACGGGTCATGTTAGTCTGACTGACGCCGCGTCAATAATATTTATTTTATTTAAAAAAAAAATTTATTGCTCGTGCTCAATTTCCTTGATTTTGACATGCCATGATTTTTTGAGTTCAAGTACATTTATTTTCATCATATTCTTTAAAAAGTAGTTAAATCCATAAAATAAGTTTGAAAAATCATAAAATTTTGTCTTTGGGTGATCAGAATTTTTTTTATGAGAAATACATGTGCTATTTTCACTAAGACAATTTTATTTTCTATTGAATTTGTATGGAAAATTATACTATTGGTTTACTTATTGAGAAATACATGTACTATTTTCTCAAAAAAAAAAAAAAAAAAAAAAAAAAAAAAAAAAAAAAAAAAACTCCAAAAAGCATTTGAACCATATGTTGAATTCATTTGCTAGTTGAAACTGACACAAAAAGTGCAGCAGCTGAGAAGTAAACCTTCACCATGCAATGGACAATCTCACAGAAAGAAACATATATTTCACGGAAGGGATTTGGACAGACAGAAACATATATTTGATGGAAGGGCATTGGCCTGAAATGTGGAAAAATGGATGGTATTGAGCAAAAGTATGTAGCTTTGAAACCTTGCAGTTTTCTTGACTGTAAGCATGTCCCTACATATGTTTTTCCTCTTTGTGTCCCTTTGAGCCTTTTGTTTGTTTAAATAAGTGCTAAGCACTTACCCCCTATTTTAATTGTTTTTCTTTGTGTTACCCCCCATTATTATAACCCATAGCCCTTAGCCAAATGTTTTATCTTCCACCATTGAGAGAATGGAACTTTTGTCTTTAATATTCTTGTAGAAGACATCTTTATGGAGTTTGTGCCTAAAAAGCAATTTTTGTATGAAAGTTCAAGTGTGGGGGTCTTGATTATTGGTCTAAAGTTTATTCCTCGAAAAATTGTTGTATTCCAAAGAAAATCCAAAGAAAAGAATGAAAAGAGAAGAAGAAAAGAAAAGAAGATTGCATAAAAGATTGAAAGTTTATTGTTTAGACCCCCACTTAATTAGAAGATTGCTTTGTTCTCAAGTGAATTCTGATCTACTCCTTAAGTTGTATTGTCTTATCTCTTCTAAGGTATTGAAAAGGTTAGATAATTGTGAAATTCTCTCCTTTGTGTATTTATCCATACCACTTGTTTGTTAGTCATCACTCGTAGCCTCATTACAAACGTAATAAAGACCTCTTTGATCTTAGCATGCATTCTTGGAGTTGAGCTAGTGAGAGTATGAAGGGCAAGCCTATGGGATCTCATTCATGAGCCGTGTTTTTGCATAACCTCAACTTAGTATTTGTGCACACTTGATCCTCATGTACTTTAATAATTTTGGTGCTTGGTTATTGGCTTGAGAATGGGTCTTATGTTCCAAACTGAGATGATTCTTGAGGCTTGTTGTTTTGTGGCAAGTTGGTTGGTGGTATGAAAAGTCGTGCAAGAGAGAGTAGGAGTAATTTGTGTGCTTGACTTGTGATTTATTCCTTGATTTTGCTTGAGGACAAGCAAATGTTTAAGTGTGGGGGAGTTTGATGTGAGTCTAATTGTACGTGTTTTTAGTATTGGTTTGAGCATATTTATTAGGATTAATTTCATGAAGTTGTCACATTAATTGCATATTCCCTTCTTTTATTATTTAGATATGGTTTACACTTGTTTTGAATGTTTTACGGTGTTTGTTAGTGTTTTGAAACCATTTTATGTCAAGTGAAAGAGCAAGGGATGTTCTAGAACAAGTTTGGAGTCAAAGTGGACCAAAAGGCGCACACAGGAGATTCGACGCGTCCAAAAATTCCAATAGCAAACTGCCCAGCGCCCAGCAGACTCGATGCGTCAAATCCGTCCAGTATGTTCTGCTTATTCCCGGCGCCCAGGCTCGACGCGTCGAGAAGGCCTAGGTGGGTTCTTTTCAGCAGTTTCGAAAATTTCCAAATCTCACGCGAAGTTTCCCGTTTTGCCCCTGGTTTGATTCTCGCTATAAAAGGATGCCTTCCTCAACCCTAGAGACCCAATTCAGAGCTTTGGAGACAAGAAAGAGGAGAATTTAGAGCTACAAGTGGTCTTGGAAATCAAGAAGAAAGCTAAGGAGATTCGGGAGAATTGCTTGATTTATCCTTGTACTCTTTGATTATTTGTATTCTCTTTATTTATTTTATGAATTCTAGTTTAGCCATGCTTGGTTAAGCACTTTAGAGATTCTTGGGTGATAGTATTTATGAACCTTTGTGCCTAGTTCTTATTATTCTTAATATATTATTATTTAGGTTTTATACTTGTGTTACAATTGTGATTTATATTGTTGATGCTAGTAATTAGTGGTCATAGTTACTTGTTTCGTATGCTATCTTTGTGTCACAACGGGAGTTGGGCATAATTTAGGGCACACACAATTGCACTTAATTATTGCACATCGGGAGATGGCAGTACTTTGGAATTTATTATGAATGCTTGTTCTGCTTGTATTATTGTGTGTTTATACAGCGGGAGCGAATATTCACTTAGGTTAGAGATTACGGGAGTAACTCTATACCATCTTTGCATTCTCACACTTGTTTAAACCCAGATTTAATATTTGAACTTAGATTGGCACTAGGTGATTAAAGAATCTCATGAATCTCATTCTCTCTCTATTGTTTTCTCAAAATTGCATACTTTGCTTTATTAGTTTTATGTTTAATCAACCATTCAAGATAATCATTAGGATTAGCTTCATAAGAATAAATTAGTAGGTAGTGCTTAATACAACAACTTCCAATGTGGATCGATAACTCGTTACTCAGAGTTTATTTGTTTGAAAATATACTGCAACCAGTATACATTGTTGCATGCATTATTGGTAGAATTGTCATGTTTAATAGGCCGTTTGTTGCTACGAAACTAGTGCTGCGTGCTATTTCGTTATCTATCGCTAATCGCTTGCTGCTATTTCCTCATTGTTATTCGCTTGTTTGTCCATGTAGGGTGATGAGTCATTTTTTCATTTGTTTTTTAATATAATATTGCTTGTATTTGGATGTTTGTGCATTTTTGTGCATTATGGGTGATACGGTTGTTCATTTGGTTGTGCAACCCGTTATTGTGTCTTGTTCAACGTATTTCGATTTCATTTGTTTACCGTTAGTAATTGTCCCGTGCGATGCACAGATGAAACTTATACCGGTTAAGTAAATATATTTGAATATAAACATAGCTAATAATTTCTAAAGTTGCTTTATATGTGTAAGTTGTTTTAGATGAATGACCGTCACACAAGTTCTCGGACCAAAAAATGAATGACAAAATTAATAATCATTGATATAAAATTACAAATTATTAAATACTTCCATCCGTAGGCAACATTAGTAGTTAAATATTATTGTCTGCATTCATTTTTTTGTTGTTAGAAGACTAAATGGTGAACTTATGCTTGATGTTCATTTCTATATGCAGAATTTTCAGAAGAGGTTGTTATTTCCTGTAATGTTAAATCAAGATCGGGACTTTGGAACTGTATTTTATATGCTAAACCTTTTCTCATAGGTTACTGCAATGTGACAATAAAAATTTGTGAATAATGTAATATCCTTATTCTCAATTTTAGGTAGTGTTAAATTAAGAAAGTGATGTCTGTTTTCTCATTTATTATAGAGTACAAATGGGAGGAAAAGCACAGGTATTACTCAATATTTGAGGTGCTACACTTGCTTAACCTTGCTCAATAAGCTTGATTACAATAAAATTACTGTGAGACTAATAATATCATGCTTTTTTGAATAATATCATGCTTTGATTGAACCTTCCTCACCTTTCTTGTTCTTCATTGAGTTTTGGGTTGTTGAAAACTTGTCCAGAGGACACCTTTTCAAAACTGCACTGTCACTCCCACTAACATAATTGTTAATGGCCACAATTCCAATAGAACTCTTACCATCATCACTACTCACAAAGTCCTAAAAAGAAAACAATAGAAAAATGAATACTGTTAAAAGTCTTTGTTCTATAAATACCTCCTCTAATGGTAAACAAAGCTAGCAGTACAGTTCATCTAATCGAAGTACAAAGACTGTAGCCGATCTACGCATTGTTTACAAATACAGTAACTTCGAAGCTCAATCATCATGGCCTCTCTATACACTCTGGACCGTGCAATATCTCCGCACATATGCACATATGAATGGTGAACATTGTTGTTCTGTTTTTTTATTATTTTTTAATATTTGTCTTAATTTGTGAAATATATTTAGTGTTGATCTAATAATTTTTAATAGTGTTCAATTAATATTTTGTATTCTACTTCTATGTTTAAAAAAACTTTTATTCGAAATTGTTTTATTAATAGTCTCTCAAGTATTTTGTATTCTACTTTTATGTTGTTTCGTTAATTGATCATTTTTTTTCCAGGTTTTTGAATGTTCACAACTTTTGAGAAGTTGAACAGAAGTATGGATTATTTCATTTTTTAAAAAATAAATTTCATTGTGTTAGTTTATTATTAGTATTGGTATTAGTATAGATTATGTAATATTATGTAATTGTAGTGTGGTATAGGGTTTAGTTTCTTAGTATTATAATATACTTATTGTCTTATGTAGGTATATTCAATTCCATATACATTCTTCTCTTATCTGTATTGTGTTTTTCACTTGGTTATGTAAATATGTGAGACTAACTATTATCAATGAATAATATCAAAGGCAAATTGTGCATTGCCAGTACGTAGTGTACACACCTAGTTTGTTGCATCTGTATAATAGTCTGTCCACATGACAAATAATTATAAATATGACTCGGAGTGTTATATTTATTTAAACTACATTGAGTGTAAATTAAGAACTTTCTCTCCTGAAGTATATGAACAGATACTACAATGTAATAGAACCAGTAGCATTCAAAAAAAAGAACTTTCTCTCCTGAACTATCTTTTTTTGTGAAAAGCCCTGATCCTCTTGGCTGCTTTTAAGGAATCATATTTCATAGTAATCATATTTGAAGATTTGTTTAAAAGATATTATTCATTGAATTGTGGTGGTTCTAGAAAGCAATCAGAGGATTAGTCTACAAAATTACTGCAATGATGAGGAGCCAATTGGTGATAAGTTCTCACATAGCAGATATATCTCCATTGAGGTTCATCCACAGTTGTCCGGCATTTTTAGCAGGAATAAAAATGGATGATCACATATTTAGAGATCTGTGTACTACAGAATATATAGCATCTGTTCACATAGCATGAACTAATATTTGTATAGTGATTGTAGCACTTAGATTTATTTTTGTTATTAATGCAACTGCTTTATTTTTGTTATTAATGCAGTTCACATTGCTTTTTTTTTTTTTTTCTGAATACTACTGACTCTATTATAATGCAATATCTGTTCAATAACTTCTTCTTTTAGTATCAAATATTCTTTTATCTTCACATGTAAACTTTCATAAATATTCTTCATGTTAATGTTAAAATTACTTAACTTATCACTGTATAAGTCTTATCCGTGCATCGCACGGGTAAAATACTAGGATTTCATATGTACGCCCAATGGAGAGATGTCACCGCAAAATTGTAGTGTGTATTCTGCTGATTTTTCTGTGTTTTCCGGAAGCAATCTGGTGTATTATAGTTGAAGTCTTTGTCTTTCAAACAAAGAGATCTATTTATAAGTAGATTTACGAAGTGCTAGTATACCAATAGTCCAGATGTAGATTTACGATGAGCTTGTAAAACCAATCGTCATATTGAAAATGCCAAGCAGCTAATTAAATATCACCATATTTAATCGCCTATCATTAATTATGGCCATATGAACCATTTCAACCGCAATTACCAAACGTTGTCGTTTTTTGTTGGGCGAAAATTTTTGCCAAAAATGCATTTATTATTGTTTGTGACTTTTTTATATTAGAAGATTAGAAGATTTCATTTCATTTCATTTGGAGCCGGCCCCTATAAATAAATAAATACATACATATGTAACTTCGCTTTGCAATTTAGAAGATTATACTAATATGCACTTTGTAACAACTAATTGTGTATTTCTTGATAGTTTTTTAAAGAGAAAATACCAATTTTGGTCCCATGAATATTAGTAAAATGACAGTTTTGGTCCACATTATAATTTCTATCAATTTTCATCCACGACTATTGTTTTAGTACCAATTTTCATCAAAGGCTATTGTTTTAATTTAGTATCAAAATTCATTACGCCGGTCACCCTTCCGTTTAAGACATCCTGAAATATGAAATTATTAAGAGTATTTTCGTCTTTTTAAAATTAAGATCCCAATTTGAAAATAAATAAAGAAATTTAAACCCTAAGGTTGGATCCCAATTTGCAATTCTCCTCTTCAAATTAAGGTAGGATGAGAAAGAGAACTGCGAATTGGGATAGGGCTTAAATCCTTTATTAATGCTCAAATTAGGATCTCAAATTAAAAAGGATGAAAATACCTTTAAAATTTTTAAATTTTGGCATATCTTAAACGGATTGGTTACCAGATGTAGAGATATAGACTCTTTGGGCAATGTCATTTGGAATTTCAGATGGAGAGACATGGGGACAAATTCTCTCCTCCAGCTCAAGTACTTGAGAAACATTGCAGAAGCCTTTTCAACATCCATCTCGGAATCATCAAGTCAACTGCATCCTTAATTAGAGGAAGGATCTTCCCGTTGAACAACAGCTCTACCACTTCCTTCTTGGCGCAATTTCCGCGACTGCTCTCCACGTCCGAAGCTTCCGAGTCGTAGTCGCTGTAGGGATTATATTCACTCACATGTGCTTCCTCGATCGAGCCCCTATTATTCAACATTTTTGTATCATATCGTGCATGTGCAAGTGCAAGTGCTTCTAACTAGTAATAAACAAAGAAAGAGTAATATATTTGGGACAAGAAAGAGTAATATATTAATTAATTAGCTAGTCTCCACTTCATATTCAAATATATAATTGATTGGTTAAGACATAATACATGTGCAAGAGTGAGATAATTTTAGAATAAATTTATAATTTAAGTTTTTATAAATCAACTAGCACTCGATATACGATAATGTTTGATTTGTTCATGGTAAATAAATTTATAATTTAAGAATTTTATAAATCAACTAACATCCTATTTATGACAATAATGTTTGATATGTCCGAGATAAATAAATTTATAATTTAAAAGTATTATAAACCATGCATGTGTAGATGGAACCGAACCTCTCCGGCCAGGGATATGATGGAGATGCGTGTAGTGTTAGCCCTCAATCCTCCCCTCCATGTGTTAATTAAGTGAATTCAATCTTTAACTGCTTTTAATTGATAAAAATATTTATTTTAATTTCCTCCTAAAAATTATGTATCAATCTGAGTGAATTTCATTTTTGGTCATACTGTTATAGGGGCGTTTCTAATTTTAGCCCACCTTAATTTTTTTTGCCACTTTATAACCACTATTATTGAATGTGTTCCACTTTTAGTCCCACCGTTAGTATTTCCATCAAGAGGCCGTGTAATCTAGGAGTATTTTGACCTTTCTTCTCATCCAAGACTATGTTTGACTAAAGAAATGAGAACATTAAACCTAAAACCTAAGAAACCTCGTCGGCCCATGTTGGAACGAACAAAACGATGTAGCTTTGGCTTCCCATTCTCGTTGTTCGAAGAGCCATCTTCGAATATCGGAGGACGAGGACGAAGCGCCTGGATTAAAAGAGAAGAGACAAACATAAAAAGACCAAAATACCCTTTGATTATACGGTCTCTTGACGGAAATATTAACGGTGGACTAAAAGTGGAACACATTCAATAACAGTGGTTGTAAAGTGGCAAAAAAAAATTAAAGTGGACTGAAATTAGAAACGCCCCTATAACAATAGGACCAAAAATGAAATTCACTCTATCAATCTCTTCTAGCTAGTTAGTGCTCAAAATAAGCGTTCAATTCCTTTGTAAGTTATTGGGCAAAGAGAGGTATGTTTGCTTTTGCCTTTTGATTAATAGGTGCATTAAAATATTGATAAAGTTATATGGACAAAAAATTTTCCATTATGCATAATGTATCTAACTTGACAACTTTTATTTTATATATACTTCCAATTTTTACTCACAAATATTTGAAGTAGACATTTTTCATGGGACCCACATGATAAAAATATTCAACCCTTATGTACTATTATAAAGGAAGGGATACCCACATACACAATCTATGCCTACACCAAAACTCAAACCCTAGACCTACCACATAGGGGAGCAACTAAATACCAATGGACCATAAGGTCCTTGGTTATTCAATCCTTATTTGCCATATGGTGGAGTAAAAAGTAAAGAAGTAGAATTTTAGAGTACATATAGTAAAACTTTAAATATTAATAGGTACTCCGTAGTGCATACTTTGTTATAACAATATAGAATTAAATATCCTTAGGACAATTCTAGTCAAGTTTGTTATATTGTTGGTAAATTATAATGTTATAAGTTCGATACTCAGTGAAGGTGACCTATTACCAGCCTTCTTGAATTTAGCCGGTTATTTATAGGTTTACTTGGTGCCAACTCTTAAGTATTGGCTCAATATGATTTTCCTCATTATCCAAAAAATAATTAAATATAACTATATATATAACTATATAACTATATATATATATATATATATATATATATATATATATATATATATATATATATATATATATATATATATATATATATATATATATATATATATATATATATATATATATATATCGGAACGCTCTAATGAGAACAAGCGCCCATGAGAGAAATAAGAACTATTTACAGTTGTCTACGTGTCTAGATCAACGAATCAGATGTAATTTTAAAAAAATGACATGGTGATATTTACGTAAATAACTCGAACTTTGGTGCAAGTAAATGTGTTATAAGTGCAAGTAGCTGGTGCACCTTTGCAAGTAAAAATTGCAAGTAAAATTATTTACACGTGCACATATTTTCCCTTACAAGTGCAAGTAATTTACCTTGTTAACATTCGTGTACCTATGTGCAACTAATTATAACGCTAGGTGCAACTAGTTATAACGTTAGGTGTACTTAGTATTGATGCTCAGTGTAAATTTTACTTGTATCTATAATACATTTTATTTGCGCTTGTAATACATTTTACTTGCACTTAGGTGCACTGTACGAAACGGCTACTTGTACTTGTAATACATTTTACTTGCACTTAGGTGCACTGTACGAAACAGCTACTTGTACTTGTAATACATTTTACTTGCACTTGTAATACATTTTAATTGCACTTCGATGTTCAATTATTTACGAAAATGCTACAGCATTTAAAAAAAAAATCAGTGTTTTTCATCCGTTAGATCAGGACACGTGGACGAATGTTATGCGTTCAGAGTTTTCTCCTGGGCGCACCGTTCTCATTTGAATGCGTTGTATATATATTGCAATTGATGGGTACGGTTAAGCTAGGCATAAAACATGTGCAAGAGTAAGATAATTTGAGAGTACGGTTTTTATAGATCAAACTTAAGAGAAAGATTGGATTGAGAGAGAAACATACAGAGAGAGAGAGAGAGATTGGTTGGTAAGAAATAATTTGTTTTTTTTTTTTTTTTTTTGGAATGCCATATTATAGGGGGAGAGAGTCAAGAAATGCAGTATAAATAAGCAAAGCCAAGAGTTGCGAATGCATTATTACATTCCAATCTTACTTCTAAAAAAATACAAGGAGTGAGAGAGAGGAAAATTAAACATACAGAGAGGGAGATGGCTTGTGTTGCATTGACTTCTCTGATGGGTACCATTGAGCTTGAATTTTTGCATCCCAACCACAGAATGTCTCTTTGTCTTGACGATGAAAAGCTATTGAAATCTGTGTTTGAGAAGCTTTCTTCTATGGAAGCCTTTCTGAAGGAAGAATACAACAACGCTGTGAGTAGTGGTGCTCCAATCCGACGACATCTGCTAAACAAAATAAGAGACTTTGCACTCAAAGCTGAAGATGCCATCGAAATACAACTCACAAACATCCTTCAACTTCAACAAAAAGATCATGAAGGGGAACTCCATCTCCATCTCCATCGAACCTTGCAACAAGTAGCAAAGGAGGCAGAAGAGTTGCTAAAGGTTATCAACAATCAAGTTGAAGTGGCCAACCATGATTCTCTTCCCTTGATTGGTTGGTCAGAAGCTGCAGCTTCGCACCCTCACAACATTATTGAGAAGGAGGGTGGATCCTTGCAATGCTCTCCACAGTTGGAGGAGGAGGATACATTAATGCTTGGTCGTAATTACTATTACTTTGCATTGATGAGGATTAATCTCCTTAATAGCTTATCTCGAAGTGTACTCACAATTGTTGGAGCCCCGGGCATTGGAAAGACTACTTTTTGTAAAAAACTGTATACAGACAGTGAGGTTGTATCACATTTTGAAATTCAAGCTTGGATTACTATCCCGCCAAGATACAATGGGGATGTGCAACAACTACTGTGTCACCTTCTTCAATCAATGAGGCCAACCCCCCTCAATCAAGAAATTGACATGCAGGGAAGCACTGTTTCTCAACTAAAAGACCAACTGCACAAACACTTGAAAAAATGCAAAAGATATTTAATTGTTTTGGATGATGTCCCTAACACTCTGCTTTGGGATGATATCCGCCAATGTTTTCCGGATGACAAAAATGGAAGTGGGATATTGCTAACCACTCTTTTCACGGATGTGGCTGAGTACATCACCAAAAGATGGAATATAAAAACCCTGTTTTACCTAAGGGACAATGAGAGTTGGAATCTATTTTCCAACAGATTTTCTCTTAAACATCATATGACACCTAAATTTGAAGAAATTGCGAAGCATCTTGTTGAGGAATGCAGAGGATTGCCGCGCTCAATCGTTACAGTTGCAGACCGTCTATCTAAATGCAACTACACATTGAAGGAATGGAAGAAAATCGAGAAAGAATTACTGTCATTGGGAATTCTACATAGAGATACGCAGCACTCAAGTAAGCTTACCAACATTTACAATCGTTTGCCACAACATTTAAAAGTTTGTTTTTTATATTTTGTGGTTTTTCCAAAACACAGTCAAATCAATGTGAAAAGACTTATTAAGTTATGGATTGCTGAGGGATTTGTGAAGCCACTGAGGTGTCTTCCATTAGAAGATATAGGTTACATGTATTTGAGGGCTCTTAGAAGTAGAGGATTAGTCAGAACAGGGGATGTGTACAATTTCATACCAAAGACTTGTGAGATACATATTGACATGCATAGCTTTTGCGTACGAGAAGCTCAAAAAGAAGGTCTTTTATGTGCAGCAAATACTCAACAATGTATTGGATGGTCATTAGACATACTCGCAAATTCATGTCGTTGGTTAAGTTTACGCACACATAGTTTGGACTATCATGTGTTGTTTAGTTCAAATATCCCTCGCTCCCTTTTCGTCTTTCAAGGAGGTTTTGAAAGGTTTATACCTTTCAAACATTTAAGAATTTTAGATTTGAGTCATTTTCTAATACTCAATAGAGTGTCATTATTGCCCTTAAGGAATTTAGTTTTTTTAAGATATCTTTCCATACCACAGTGGTTTGAGAGTTTTGATGATGTAGTATCAAGTAATTCAAATTTGCAAACACTTACTGTTTCTGGCATTGATGAATCAACACTTGGAGCACGTACTCTTCATTTATTGCCATCCAAAATTTGGGAGCTGCAACATTTAAGGCATCTCAAACTTGGGGATATGTATATGATAGATCCTCCGAACAAGGTTATAGAGCATTTGCAAACATTAGTTTGTGCAATGCCAATTCATTTGAGGGAAAAAGAAGTGTACTATTGCAGGTTTCCAAGCATAAGAAAGCTTAAACTTGTGTATAAAGACGTCTTAGTGTCGGGGGCGTCAGGTTGCAGAAATCGTATCATCATTCTGGAGAATTTTGAGGATTTATTGAGGTTGGAGGCTCTAACGGTTATGATTCCAGTTGGTAGTATAACCCTTTTAGAGCGGGTTGGTTTTCCTGCAAAATTGAAGTCGTTGAGGTTGAGTGGGACTAATTTTCCAGTGAAGGTTTTAAAGGTAATTGGACAGTTACCGAAGCTTAAGGTGCTGAAACTAGAGAATGCTTTCTATGGCAGGGTGTGGGAAGTGGTTGAAGGAGGATTCCCAAAATTAATTCATTTGGAGGTTGAATCCAGAAATCTTGAGCGATGGGTGGCTAATACTAGTAATTTTTTCCCAAATCTGGTGCACATATTATTAAAACGTTGTTATTCTCTAGAAGAGATCCCTCCTGTAAATGCAAAGCACCGGCTGTATTCAATTAAGTTGGAGCAATGTCCACCTTCTGTCGTCACTTCTGCCAAGAGGTATCAAGAAGAGATAGCGCACAACAAACCGTGGGTACCTTTCATTGTTGTTGATGACAAGAATTTGCATGTATGTTCCATCTGGTTCTCTTTCATTCTTTTGTTTATTTTCTTTTGCAAAATCTGTTTAATATTTTTTTTCTCACCTGGTTTCATGTTCTTGGTTCCGTTTTCCATTATTGATCCAATTGCTATGATGAATCACAGTATAAAAAACAGAAGAATTATTAGAGAAATCAGAAGAAGAAGAAGAAGAAGAAGAAGAAGAAGACCAGGCAAGGCTTAATTTAATATACACACACTCATTATATATATATATATATATATATATATATATATATATATATATATATATATATATATATATATATTCATTTTGGTTGATTTTTATGATATTTGTTTGGTTGCTTTGCAAATATGAAGGGACTAAAAGATATGATGTACTCCGTAATAATTAATATCGCAGCTTGTTGATATTGCAGCTTGTTGGGGAGGCGAGATTGGGGTTCTTTGTTATAGGCCTCAGCTATTCACAATCCGTACAAAGCGATTGAGTCAGCTTCTGCGTATGAACCGTACTGCATTTATGAATATTATTCAGGCTAATGTTGACGATGGAACCATAATCATGAACAATTTGTTTCAGGTCCACTTGTTTTTTGTTTGATAAAATGTAGGATATAATCTTAAAACCAAATAATCCTATGTTGATCTGAGCAGCATCTAAAGGACATGAGGGATCCAATTATGGAAGGAGTTCTCTTAGAGACAGAGAACATGTTAGCCCATGGAAGAATGGACCTTCCTCTTACCCTCTGCTTCGCCACGCTCAGAGGAGACGATCTGCTATTGCATTACTTGTTGAAGCGTGGCCTCGATCCAAATGAATCCGACAACAACGGGAGAACAGCTCTCGTGCGTTAACTCAACTCCATCTGTGAATTGCTTTTCTTTAAAACACATTGTTTTTTTTGAAAAGAGCCTGTGCGGCATTTATTCGAAATATGCTGAAATAGAGTCTGGCGGGTCTAAGTCCGCGTACATACTAGATAGGTGATTAGTTGCAGAAGAAGCTAATGTATGTGCTAAATAATTGTCTAGTCTAGGAACATAATGAATTAAGCAGTAATCAAAAGATGCCATACTAGTTTTGCAACTATCAATGGCATAGCCTAAATAAGAGCGCAATGAGTGTGTTGTAGACGAAAGATATTGTTGGAGCACCAAACAATCTGTGTAGAGGTCTATATCTGTTTCTTCTCGGTGTCTGAGCCATGACAAAACTTCTTTGCATGCGAAAGCCTCCGCCATTAAGGGCGAAAAACAGTGTATGATAGGGGTGGTCATCGCCGACACATAGCATCCTCGTGAATCCAATATAATAGCCCCCATTGCTGCCTTGTTTGTTGTTGGATCGTACGTCGCATCGAAATAACATTGATTCCTCCCGTTCTGCGTAGTATTGTGTTGGACGGTTGCTGAAAATTCCCGTGATAATGGCAGTGTTTCGGCCTCCCCTTCTCCCATAATTGCTGCGCCTTCCCTCGGGCAGTAGACTGCCGCAACTGGCGGTAAAATAGCAGCCGGCATCGTGGTGATGGCTTGTGGACTTCTTCGAGCGGGATGTGCCTCTTTCCATGCATTGACGGATGACAACGCCATTGCTATCACGTTTTGGGGCCTGGGCAACTTTGCTTCCCATACAGCTCCATTTCTCGTTCGCCATACGAAATACAAGAGAGCCACTGCATAAATAATCCCATCATCATCTAAAATATTCAACAAATCATTAAACCAATCACTGAAAATATTTGTAGCCCTATTGGGGATTGGAAGGTTGGATCGTGCCCAAATGTTCATCGTATAACCACAAGTGATCAAAGAATGCACAAGATTCTCATGCCCAACTCCACACATTGCACAAGTTGGATCAATATCAACTCTCTTTATAAGTAAATTCTCCGTAGTAGGCAAAATATCATTTAGAGCTCTCCACAAGAATGTTTTCCATTTTGGGGGGGCTTTGAGGCTCCATAATTTTTTCCACTTATGAAAGTTACCCTCCGGTTGAGAGTAGTTCCCTCTTACCACCTTGTATCCTTCTTTAACTGAATATTCCCCTTTTGGGTCGCCATACCAGTACCACATATCCTCATACTCAAGAGACACAGGTATTTTTAATATTTTCTCCACATCTTGGGCTATGAAAATATCCGCTAAAATTTCATGGTCCCAGGTTCCAGTCTGCTGGTCTATCAGTCCCTCCACTTTTGCCTGAGCCAACTGAGGCGGTTTTTCTGTTAAAATCCTTGGCTGGTTGTCATCATGTATCCACGGGTGGTCCCAAATCAAAGTTGATTTGCCATTCCCAATTCCGCGTCTTACTCCCCCACAAATTAACCCCTTAGCCGCCAAAATACTCCGCCAGCAGAAACTTGGATTATTTCCCAAGGCTGCTTCATAGAAGGAACTAGTAGGGTAATATCTAGCTTTATACACTCTTGAGACCAGTGATTGTGGTTGTGTCAGGAAGCACCATGCCTGCTTACCTAACATTGCAAGGTTAAAGGCTCTCAATTCCTTAAACCCAAGTCCTCCAAATGTCTTTGGGATGCACATTTTATCCCAGGCCTTCCAATGGATGCCTTGTTCATTTCCTGACCTCCACCAGAACCGATTCATAGCTCTCTCAATGGTTGTACATAAATTCATAGGCAACAGAAATACGCTCATTGCAAAAGTGGGCATAGCTTGAGCCACACTTTTTAGTAGAACTTCCTTCCCCGCCTGTGATAAAAGCTTTTTGTTCCACGAGCCAATTCTCTGCTTTATCTTATCCTCAATATATGAGAAAGCCTGTCTTCTATTCCTGCCCACAAAAGATGGAAGTCCCAAATATTTTCCAAAATTCTGGGCCTGTACAACTCCCAATATATCAGCAATCTCTTCCCGAACTTCCTCACTTGTATTTTTACTGAAACATATGTTTGATTTGTGATAATTAACCGCCTGTCCCGACATGGTTTCATAGGTTGTTAAACAACGCTTAATCGCTCCTGCTTCCTGATTATTAGCTTTGAAAAACAGCAGGCTATCATCCGCAAAAAAACAAATGAGTAATAGAGGGAGCCCCCCTCGCAACTCTGCATCCATGTATATCCCCTTTGACCTCAGCTTGTTTCAACAATATTGAGAGACCCTCAGCACAAATAATGAACAAATAGGGTGATAAAGGATCACCTTGTCTTAAACCACGAGTCGGTGTTATTTGTTCAGTCTTTGATCCATTTAACAACACACTATATGACACAGTGGATACACACATCATTAGCAATTTGACCCACCTGCCATCAAAACCCAGTGCTTCCAACATCCGTTGCAAGAAAGACCATTCCATACGGTCGTAGGCTTTTGCCATATCTAACTTCAAAGCCCCCCAGCCAGCTAGTCCACATTGCTTTCTGTTCAGATAATGGCCCACCTCCGCCGCTACCAATATATTATCTGTAATAAACCTTTCAGATATGAACGCACTCTGGGATTCAGAAATAATACTATCCATCACCGGTTTCATTCTGGTTGTTATCACTTTTGCCATAACTCTATAGACCACATTACTAAGCGCAATTGGCCTATAATCAGAAACCATTTCCGGGGTTTTCTTTTTCGGGATCAAGATAATATTCGTCTCATTTAAACCATCCGGTAGAGAACAATTATTCAGAGAATTCCTGATGAAAGTAGCAACATCAGATCCTACCACATCCCAAAAATTCTGGTAGAAACCAGGGTTCATCCCATCCGGACCCGGTGCCTTATCCGGATGCATTGAAAATAAAGCTGCTTTTATTTCCTCCACCTCAAACGGCATAAGACCAACATTGTTTTTTCTTCTCATTTTTTGCTTTTTTTGGCCTTTTTGTTTCGCCCATATCAGCATATAGCAGCAGTTAAAGGATATGAAAATTGTGTTCTTCTTCTTCTAGACTGTGGAGCTGATCCCAACAGCAGAGGTATATATTTTACTTCCTTTGCTTATCTTATATTATAAGATTGGGGCAAATTAAAAGCTTGAACCGGGTGGATCGAACAGACTTTGATACCCGGCTATAATGTACATGGGCCAAATCACATTAAAAGATTAAATGCAATCAATTACCTAGTCTAACCCATAGCCTTATAAATCTATATATGTTCTTTCTTATATTTTCAATGTGAGACTCTTAACAGCTTAAAATGTGTTTATTCTGCACTTTAAACCATTTTTTCCGTCTTTCGACACCCGCAGATTCTGAAGGGAGTGTGCCATTGTGGGAGGCCATCTTGGGCGAACATGAATCAGTGACCAAGCTATTGGCAGACAAGGAGTTAAATTATCCTCGGGTGATGTAGGTCAATTCGGGTGCACTGCAGCCAAGCAGAACAACCTGGAACTACTCAGAGAGATTCTTCATCACGGTGGGGATGTAACGCTCCTTAGAAGCAATGGTTCGACAAGAATAACATTGATAAGTTTAAGGCCAAAGGAATTGACTCGGTGATCTGTGTAGCTGTCAAGGACCCATATACGATGAATGGCTGGGCAGAGAAGCTTCAAGCAAAGATGCTATTGAGTTCTATGGTGATTTTGATGTGTGTTTTCACAAGAGCTTGGATTTAACAATTGATCTCTCTGGTGCTTTGCTCGGAATACGATCCCATAGGTGGTCTGCATACATAGTTGATGGACAGGTCAAGGCTCTCAATGTTGAACAGGCTCTCAAGGTATCTGGTGGAGATGCCATCTTGGGACAGATCTAGAGTCTGTTTTATTTGCAGTTTTAATTAGTAATGAGCTTTTGTCTAGTCGTACGGAAGGCCAAATACTAGTCTATTGGTTTCTGGGGGTGTGCTTCTCCCAAATTCCTTACTGTCCCTTGGCTTTGTAAATGCAATGCTTTGGTATGCTCTGCTAAAGCCTATAGGGTTCCCAACTTTGTTGCAAATAATCACCATTTATATGAAGAAAAACATTAGCAAAAAAAAAAAAAAAAAAAGGACTGGCCTGGGGTTCGCTTTCTTGGGAAGTTCAAAAGTGAGCCAACAATCCTCTAGTCCTCACACTCGACCCCTTTAATTGTCCAACAATAGACGTGTTAGAGAAAATATGAACGGTATATATTTCTTGGATTAATTACCAAAATGGTCCCTTGACTATTATGAAATTACCAATTTGGTCCTCGACTATTTTTTTTACCCAATAAAGTCCTCGACTTTATAAATGTTAACCAATATGGTCCTCCGTTAGGTTTGGGGTCTAACATCTGTTAAAATCAAGGGTAATAAAGGAATTTCACTCTTCTATCCTCTTCTTTCCTTCCCATCGTCACATTTTTGCTTCGCGAGGCCGGGGTGGACGCCCAGAGACTCCCTGGAGTAATCCGCCGACGGCAGCGGCTGCTCACTCGCCCCGTGGATGAACATCTCCGTCCAACTCTCCATCTCCTGCAAACCAGCATCGGAATCGAGGACGTTTCCGGATGGGCGACTCTTTTTTGCTGCTCCGTCGACTCCAAATTCATACCCAGGCTCCGATGTGTGATTATCAACCATCCCCTGATAACATGCAATCCATATACTCCATTGGGGGTTTGAGTGGGTTGGATCCTTATGATTTGCATAGCATTGACAGTATGGATGTTAGGTTTGACCAACCACTAAGGGTGCCTGGAGGAGACATCTACGACACAGTAGATGCTGTAACTCAGCTTTTCTGTGGGGACGAGCCTCTACCCTACTTCGATTCTGATTATTCGCTTCACAGCTCTAGCTTTGAACAGTCTGATTCTTATCTACAGAGCGCTGTGAATAGTTTTTTTGGCTAGCACAACGGTCACCCCAGACAAGGCACAAAGGAGATGGAAATGTTGTTCAGTGTATTGAAGTGGTTCTTGGTATGAATTTGGAGTCGACGGAGCAACAACGTGACGGCGGGAGGAGAGTAGAGGAGAGAGGGATGAAATTCCTTTATTACCTTCGACTTTAACAGATGTTAGACCCCAAACCTAACGGAGGATCATATTGGTTAACATTTACAAAGTTGAGGATTGAGTAAAAAAAATAGTCGAGGACCAAATTGGTAATTTCACAATAGTCAAGGGACCATTTTGGTAATTAACTCTATTTCTTGAATCAATTACAAAGGAAGAACTCCTATATATATACAAACTGTAAGATAAAGAAAAGGAAAGAAAATAAAAGACAATCAAGGAGAATAATAATACACCAAAAATACAACACTAAAATAAATAAAGGTAGAATATATATACTAAATATATGCTAGAATATACGTTGACACCCCCCCCCCCCCCCCCCCCCCCCAAATTCAAGGTGAGATGGTAAAAGCCAACTTGAGTTTGCATAGTAAAAATTGAAATCATCCAGGGAGATGAGCTTTAGTAAAAATATCTGTTGATTGATCTTCAGAAGAAACATGAGTAAGCTATACAGTGCCATGTTTAATATGTTGGCGAACAAAATGACAATCTGTCTCAATGTGCTTGGTCCGTTCATGAAACACATCATTATGGGCGATTTGAATTGCACTCCGATTATCACAGTGAAGAAGATTAGGCGAGGATTGTTTAATACCCATATCTTCAAGTAGCCATCTAAGCCTAATCAATTCAGAAGTAGCATTGGCAAGTGCCCGATATTCAGATTCAATGCTAGAACGAGAAGTGACTGTTTGCTTTTCACTTCGGCATGAGTCGCCCAAGAAGAAACAATAACCAGTCGTTGAACGACGATCAGTAGTGTAACACCCCACTTTTATTAAACTTAATTAACAGACTTAACCTTGAAAGGTAAGCTAAGGCAGCGGAATAAAATTACCAAATAACTTAATAGAAGTGTCACCGCCACAATCACCCTTCGCGGTGATTGCACAGGCTAAGATTAAACCAACTAAACCATTAAAGTTTTACTAATCATCAAACAAACTTGGGGATAAAACCCCGGTGTCCAGCACCATCAAAAACTCAAGGGAAAGTTAACTACAAGTCTCAAAAGTAAACATCAAGAGTTTGGACTGCAAGAGCTAACTATGCTAGTCTAGTCTAACTCGTACTCTCTCACGAACTGCGCCCACATGAAAGGGGTTAACAAACAACAAGTAGAAAACAAACCCGTTAGCACGAAGCTAAGTTAACACCACTCGACCCTGTAAAGTACTACAGTATATACTTTTGGAAAACATTCGTTTCACATTCTCAAATCACACATTCTCAATCACTCAGCAACAATTAAACATGCTCAACAGGGTTTTTATATGCTTGCAACCTAATTAACAAAATAGGCATGCTTTCACAATTATTTTGCTTATCAATAAGCTCATACTATCACATACTTATCTTATCAATAATCTCATATAATCATATATCTCAGTAAACAATCTCATGCTAACACATAACTCAATAAACAATCTCGTGCCATCATATAATCTCTAAGCAATCACATGCTATCATATACTCAACATGCAATCTTGTGCAATCATATAATCTCTAAGCAATCTCATGCTATTATATACTCAACATGCAATCTCGTGCAATCATATAATCTCTAAGCAATCTCATGTTATCATATACTCAACATGCAATCTCATGCAATCATATAATCTCTAAGCAATCTCATGATATCATACACTCAACATGCAATCTCGTGCAATCATATAATCTCTAAGCAATCTCATGCTATCACAAACTCAACATGCAATCTCGTGCAATCATATAATCTCTAAGCAATCTCACGGTATCATATACTCAACATGCAATCTCGTTCAATCATATAATCTCTAAGCAATCTCATGTTATCATATACTCAACATGCAATCTCGTGCAATCATATAATCTCTATATGCAATCTCGTGCAATCATATACTCTATATGCAATCTTGTGCAATCATATACTAAATATGCAATCTCGTACAATCAACTTGATCATGCAATAAAATGAACATGATGCTTTGGTATAACCGTATAAGTATAGATAGATATGCATACACACTCTTTTGTACAAAGAGTACTTTTCTGTTGGAGGTTTCTTAGAGTCACAATGACTCGCTTTGCTCTTCTTTTCTAGAATCTCAATGACTCGCTTTCCTTAGAGTCGCAATGACTCGCTTTCTTTAGAGTCACAATGACTCGCTTTCTTTAGAGTCACAATGACTCTCTTTCTTTAGAGTCGCAATGACTCGCTTTCTTATACTCGTGGGCGAGGTAGGACTTCACCATAATGTGAATGGACCTATCGGGGCTCGGCATCTAGCTGGCCTAATACTCATCTCGCCCACATAACCACTCTCTTGGTTCTCTTCTCAAACTCTATGGAATCAGGTATCGAACTATCAGTGTGCACACCCCCTGACCAGGATTCCAAGCCTGGCAGGCAGTTTCCAACCTAGTAACTCGGGATATCTACCTCGTTACTTCATATCGGATCGCAATGTCCATTTCTTGCTTTACTTTCTTTCTTTCACTGTTTTGTCGGTTCTATCCGATCTTATCTCTTTTCTTCCGAAAGGACATAGTCCTAATCGGGCCTCCAAAACCTCGGATTACTCACACTAAATACATATAGATATAGCTCATGCATTTCAATTCATGCAACACTTTACTTATGCAAACTTATGTACATAATTTCTCAACAACTTCTCAATGCAACTAGATGACAATTTTCAACATAGAGATAAGTTTTGAAAATAGAACTTAGACTCACAATGGCCACTTATGCCTTTTAAAAAAACATGGTATGCTCTATTATGTACTTTACAGTAAAATATGCTTCAAAACTTCTTTCACTGTGAACTTTCAACAATTGCCTAAACATGCTTATAAAATCATAACTTAGCCAATCTTCTTTGGCAAACACTTAGCAAGTATTCAATATGCACTTGAACTCAAAATACTCAACATAATATCATTTACTATAATCTAACATTCAAGAAGAACATGCTCTGTACACTTCAACAGTTAATATTCTTGGCAATATTCTCAACAAGTCATAATAGACATCTAGGCATGCTTTTCTAGCAAGACTTAGCAAATATTGATCATCTTTCATAATCTAACAATCATATAATTGTCATACTCTTCAAACAAATAGCCAAGAGCCAACACTTCACATTTTCATTCACTCTAAATGCTTCCAGACAACTTCTGTAGCATAATGCTTCACAAATTATATTGCAAATTACTCAATCCTACTCCGAATTCAATGAAATCAATTTCTACTCGTGCGTCGTGACAGTCCCGAGTGTCCGAGCCTCAAGGGCCCACGAGTCCCAGTTTGAAAAGACATGTAGCTGAGCCACAAGGGCCCGGCCACTGCACAACTTTTGCCCAGCGGGGCTTGTGGTGGGGCTTGAGGAGCCCCGCCGTCTGGAACCGCCAAGCGGCAGCCTAGGGCCACTCCTCCACGGGGCTTACCAACGGCTCCTTCCTAGGGCCGTTGGCTAGTCCCGTGTCTCATCTGGTGCACACTGTTTTGTGCATCAGTGAGTTTCTTCTTCACCTGTAAGACATTATTAGGCAAAT